TTGAAATGGTGGCTTACGAATCACAAATATAGTTTCGACTTACAGGCTCCGACGAAGGCGATATTGCCGAAACGTAAGCCGTGTTGATAAACTGTTATTAAAATCTCGGAAGGCTAACAATACAACTTACATACGGAAATATCCTGTCACGATAAACCACACGTTGGGGAACGGTCAAGCCAGACATAAAGGAAAGTATGGAGAAGGCTCGAAACAAACATGTATTACAAATCCTATGAAAAAAAGTTGCTGGGGGGGTGCAGTGAATGTTACAATTAGGACTTCTTTTCACGACTACCATAAACCTTATATGAAAAGCGTCCTTAGAACTATTTCTATTACCGTGTTCATGATTGCACCACCTCGCGGGAACTCAAGGCAAATGATTAGCAAATCAACGACATTGGCAGTTAAATCGAATGCGCTTACCACAAATGATAGTGTGCTTACCGACCGACCCACCGACTGCAGCGCTGGCCACGTGTTGACAACGCAGGACACCGATGGATGACGCCCAGACGACTCACGCGGCCCTGAACGCAGCCTGTCCGGCATTGTCAGCACGCGACCAGCGCCGCCATTGGTCGGTCGATCATTGAACTCTGAAAGCACCCATTAGCAAGTTTTTTACCCACTAACTTCACCCACTGACTCAACTCCCGATCGAAACCACGACAGGCCATGCTCAACCACAACATCTTGACATCAACGCCAGTTCTAAACTGATAGGCACATCCGGCACAACATAAAGGGTGCGGTTGTGGTTCTCAAAGTTGGATTAGTCCCAATGGCATGCCAAGCTCGCCGCACTCGATGGTGCCTTGTCAACCGCGTGTGGAGTGATTCAGCGTTTTTGTTGTATTCTATCTTCTCTAATAGGAATCCCATCGCGAAGAGGATAGAGTGCAGACGAAAGGGCTAGCCATTCCTCAATGCCTACATTATGTACTATAATAGTAACGCAACGCAGTAGCGAACATTGTAGGGTTTAGATTCATTCGTTCAGAGCTTCAAACGATCTTGTTGATATCAGTATTCACTCAAATAAAAACAAAGTGGTAAAGGCTCAAAAGCTTGGATTTCCTGCAGTGCCACGTAGATTTTTATCGATGTAAAGGTTCTATACAATTATTTTATTGGTATTCAAACAAAGATCACGCCTTGGCTTCTCTCCGAGTACTTGAACCGATCAACGAGCAACAGCACTTGCGGTGTTACTACACACCATTTCCCGTACCTTCTCTTCTCTTTCACCTGTTCAAAGTTCGGATTCTAACTAGTAAGATAAGAGTCTTTCCGATATCTCTTCGATTCTTGTACCCGTTCAAAGATCCACTTTTTTCGAAGGAGCGCTAGGGAGGAGTAAGCTCACAACGATAGACACACCTTCCTTCCGCTGAGACTATTCTCCGTCTAGTTCCGCGACATGCTTAGACTGTTCTCCGCCTAGTTTTCTCAATCTGATGACAACAGCCCTGTAACCGGCGCGCACTCGCGTGTTGAGGAGACGAAAATCTTAATTTTCAGGGAAAGCTTGTGGTGATGCCCTGGGAGTCGGGTTCACATACCGCACCAGTGCTTGTGCTTTGCGCGATGTATATTTCCTCAGATAGTGATTACGAACAAGAACCTCTGCAATTTTTTAAGTAACTCACTTTGTTGTATTGCTGAAATGGAATAGACGTATCTAGGGCCGGAGGATTGCCAAGTGGTCCCCAGCCGGTGGGATTCGCAGCCATTTCACACAAATCAAACTTCGGCAACGCCATGATCTTCAAATGGTCCAGTGATCAAGATGATTCGTTAAACGAAATTACATAAATTGCATCACGTTGAGGAATATCAACACAACAGTTGAAATAGTACTAGCGTCAAACAACTGGCGACAAAAAAGGCACCAAGCTATGCTTTGAAAAACTTTATTCAGGTATGCGAACAGCAATAAAAACAACATTGCATTCCTTAAACAACTCTTTTTTAAAGCATAAGGCTAAAGCAAAGCCGAAATAAAATACAACGAATTTCGACAGAGGCACGCTGTTGCAGCACATGTCACATGTGACAAACACCTGCTTAGTCCTAACACTAGAAAATCGAAGCTAAAAACGGAAAACTCATTCTGAATCTGCTAACCAAGTGATTGATTTCTGAATCACTTCACTTTTATTGCTTCAAACAATTCCTAAAAAGAGTTCGAACAAACATTCAAACATGATTGAAAAGTGATGCACGGTCACCAATTTGATCAGTTGCCGTACAAAATTTACTGAAACTCTTACACAATTTTGGATGCTGCTAAAATGCTTTGCTCTTCAGAAGCACAGGTTCTAACTACTTGATTGAGAAGTTGTATGAAGGAGGGTCCAGTCCAAATTAATTCCTCTAGCGCGGGTCTTCCACGCTTTTACTACACGACCATTTTCAGAATTCATGCGCCGCACGACTCTAATGGGTATAATTCGGAAAAGGATTTTCTTGTAGTGCTTCCGCTGATTTCCTCTGGCCTCTTTGGCCTTCCAAAAGGTACTTCAATACTGTTTTGATAATGTGGGAGCAGACGAAGGCACTTCATGTCATCTAACTCCTGCCCATTATGGGGTTAACAGTAGGAAATCAGACGGTTCTGATGGAAAAAGTGAACTTCGCGCAAAAATTTGTGTTGTCGGTGGAAAAAGTTGTGGAAATGAAATTTTTACTATGAAAGCGTCAATGAGCAATGAGAATATCTGCCGCAATGAACTCACGGGTTACCGCCTATTCGGCTTTCCAATTCATTCTTCCCACAGGAAACCCATCGTGAACGGAATCTCTTTTCAATCAATACCTCATGGAATTCACAACAGGATCATAGACAAGTCCAAATGCGGTGTATCGGATAAGGATGAGACTGATAAACTGTAAAAAATTGTAACAAAAAGAGGAAAAGATATGTGATTCAGAATTTAAAGACTCTTATTTAGATTATTAACCGTGAAGCTTTAAAGGGCAACCCCCTCTCAATAATCCCTTTCACTTGTAATGACTCATGCAATGGTTGGCAACGCAAAGAGGTAATGACCTAATATGAAATCTGAAAAGTACAGTCTTTCAGATAGGGTTTTAAAACAAAATCAGATATAACTAGGAGAACACGAAACACAACTTATACCGCAAAATTGGATTTGCCCAGGAGTAATTCAACCCGAGGTATGACTAAAAATAGGTACTGCTAAAGCAGGTAATCTTTTTCCTTGAAGAATATCAGCAGCTCGTTCTGCCATCATTATTACGGGAGCGTTCAGATTGCCACTCACTACTGATGGCATTACACTTGCATCAACAACCTGGAATCAAGGAAGTATTTCACTAAAAAATACCGAACAAAAAAGCGCGAGCTGAGAAGAACGAAGAAATCGAAAGATTTTCTTGAATAAGATAATCCTTGTTCCAAAAGAGATACACAAGGTCCTTCGAAAAGTTCTGGAAAGGATACCTTCAGATTTTGTGTACCATAAACACTCATCGTCTCGGGATCAACAACTGCCATTTTATCATCTTGTGAGCCCATTTTGCATGAACAGCATGGATGGTATGCAGAAGCTGACATCTCCCTGAAAGTTTTTATATTCAGTACGGGCAGACAAAACATTTATGGGGGAGCGAAACTGCTGACTTGACGAAATTATCAATCTGAGCATCCGTTGTGACGTCCTTACCAGGAGACAGCTCATCACCGCGATAAAGATCGAATGCTTTCTGCGCAAATATTTCACGTGATAACCGCACACATTTCCTGTAAACCTAGATCATTTATGTTCAAGCCGTCAGCAATTGATACGAACTTATCAAAAACAATTCAGATTTTGTACCAAATGCTCTGTGTAGGAAGGAGACGTCAGTTAGTTTTTTATGTCTTGAAACATCGAGGATCTCATTCACGAAAGATGAGAAGAGAATACAGTAAAATTCAAGTGACATGCCAGGCTGAGAACAAGTATGTGAGTCGCTAGGTCGCAGAATGGAGCAGCAGTACCAGTGGGCGGAACATTTGCGTGCAGCACGAAGCAAGACAGACATGCGTCGAGGTCTAGGTGATTCTGGCTGAGATTCTATCGCTGAGATTATGAGGTCACCCGCACACGCATCCCAGAACGGTGGCGATCGGGATTCATACCTGTTGCCGTGAGCATGTAGCGACACGACCGTAGTGGGCCATCAAAATGGAGATCTTACAAGAAAATGATCATAAGTCGAAGTGATCAGTTGAAATGAGATTTCTGGAGCCATGCGTATTTCCGAGTGCTGACTTCAAATCTGCTTTCCAAGATCGCCAAACTATTCTCCGAACGAAGTCATGAAGGAAGTTTCAGGTTAGAGCTCAACATAGACCAACACTCAGGAAATGGATGCAACAACTCTGTTAGATCCTATTTATTTCATATCTTCTGTCCGTATGTAAGATTATTCTTCAGGCATGTTTCCAGTGGTTTGAATCCTCAGAATTTCGCTTAATGTATAAATGCATAAGTAGCTGTGTTAGCGAGAAGCGCGCACAAGGTGATAGAGTCGCCCACCATTTTCTTCTGATGTAGCGGCATCGTTGTTAGTATGGGGTAGACGTGAACTGACGTCAATAATGCAGTATGTAAAGGTGCAGGGACATGAGTGTGATAATATTTGGTTGATGCGAAAGTCTCGCGATACAAAGTGACATGTCGTTGCTTTGCCGTCTCCAGGCCATCACTACGTCCTTGAACAATCTAAGAGTTATTCAGGATAACCGTATTCCAAGCAAAGTGAAGAAAAAATCGTAGGCTACGAGCTGGTGGTTGGCAAAGCTCTTCGAGTTCGATCAGAGCAACGCGACACCTTCACGAACGCGATTACAGGAAAAATCTTGTAACTCGACAGCGACCACACAAACTTACAGCTCCGATCTAGTCACTGTCTCAGTAAACCACTGACTTATCGATGTCACGTCAGACGAGTGTCGAGGCGATACAGATTGCAATATTCGTTTTCGTTTTAGAACCTACACACAATCAGCTGTCGCCGAGTGATGAGGCGATGATTTCCTCCCATTCTTCTTTCCTCTGCAATTCTTCTTGCTGCCGCGATCCCTTATTTAATTTCCTACTCCTAGAGGCTGAAAAAGGTGAGCAACTTTTGCTGTTACTAGGACTTTTGTTTACTTATGCTTATAAGTGAATGAATTTTGCTCACCATAGTTTGTTATTCGCACCAGGACCCATGCGTACGCAATGAGACACATTGTATAGCTCGTCCAAACGTCCCACTCTTCTTCATTTTTCTGAACTCATTCTCGTCCAGCCCCCTGTTTAACGGTTTTTTGGAGCCCTTTTTCAGTTTGGAAACACCGATTCACGCAGTTTCTGAACCGTCATCGCACTATTTTCGATCTTGTCGTCCATTTTTCATCATAATCTGGACTACCCAAAAGTATCGTGAACTGTGCCTTCAAACGCTGAACCCGTTTGACACGTTGACGACGCGCCAGTTTTTTCGTGACTGTCGCGTGGGACGAGACATTTTCCATTCGGAAAACTTGTTGATCTCTTGAAAACAAATGGCATGTGAGAATATTTTGCAAACTCTCCATCAATATTCGAATTTTGCCCACTCTTTGTAGGTACACTGGGTAAATGCAAATTTGACAGTGATGAATTTGAATCAGAGGTATAAAATAGGATCTCTGAGGGTATCGTTATCCTTGCGAGCATCTTTGTCATCATGAATGCCCCAGATATTGGAACCGAAGAGTTCATCGAAAGTTTTGACGACCATCATCAGCCGTATCGCCGTCATCCAAACCACCGGGAGCTTCATCATGCTGCTCAACAGCGATGATGAAGCTCCCGGTAGTTTGGATGACGACGATACGGCTCGTGCAGTCGTTCCTGACATTGGCGATTCCGACTCTGAAATCTCAGATGGTGACTATGACGAAGGGGCAGAAAACATACATGCGGGCGAACGCCAAATGGTGTGTCCGACTATTTTTTCATCTCGACAAGCAGTTTGAGATTACGCAAGTTGAAACCGGTGAATGATCCGTTTCCGAAGGCTAAAGACAGAAGATTTTGCTCCAACTGCTTCCATAATAGCTTTGGAGATGACTTAACAGCTGACCGGCGCTATTTAAACACTTGTGAGCCTAAATTTAAAATTAGCACAAAAGGGATCGGGACACACGTTTTGATTGAAATGATGTACTGTCGCGCACCATTGCACGACATTGTCGTTAACGTGTTAAGAATGTTCCGCTCGATATTTCCTTTGAGCAGAAATATTAGTGGTTGAAGATGGCCCCGTGTACCTCGGTGCAAACCTTCTAACTATGAAAATTTGACCAGCCTTCTTTTAGCTGCGTCTCATGATCCGCATTCTAAAACGTTTTTATACACAATTATGAACTTGATCTTAGCCCCGCCCACCTTAGTTCAAGCCCCATTCACTTCTGGGATTTGGCATTTCTTCCATTACCTCCAAACTCCTTTGCCGCGTTCAAGAACGTTTTGAACAAAGTTATGCACTTTTGATCATAGCCCTGCTCTCCCTAGCGCAAACCCCGCCAACTTCAAAGATTTGGTCAAAATCCTCCTACTACCTCAAACTACTTTTTTCCACATTCCAGAATTATTTTGAAGAGAAACATGAATTTTTGATCTTGGTCCCGCCCACCTTAGCGCAAACCACGCTCACTTCAGGAATTCGACCACATCTCTTTCGCTATCTCCAAGTATTTTTCTCTCGCATTCCAAGACAATTCTGAAGATAGATGAATTTTTGACCTTGGTTCCGCCCACCTTAGCGCGAAACATGCCCATTTGAGGAATCTGGCCACATTTTTCTATAGCTTCTAACTGCTAACTCTCACGTTTTAGTACGTTTTTAAACAAAGATATGAATTTTTCAAAAAGGACATAACATATGAATGCACTGTGAGCGGAGCTTCGACATGTTCACGTATGCCACGCACGCATAAGGCCTTGCCCACTTTTTTTTTCTGGCCTCCACATTTCCGTTGAATCGAGTTATGACTTTATGTGGTAAGTACCAACGGCGAGAACGCTCCACCTACCACCGGTGAGTACTCTTCAGGTCTTTTGTTGACACATCCCTCTCCTCACATGTGCTCTGTTGTCTTGCCATATTCCAAATCCATCGCAAAGTTGACCCGACTTCTGCAGGTGCTTCATCAGGTGGTACCGAATTTCCGTACAAACAGAAAAACCGACAGACAGACGCGAGCGCTTTATATATGGTATGGATACACTATTCCACGTCAGTAACTTTGAGTTTGGAGTATGAAGTTTTTGCATGCTAGTAGTCTAGCCCAATCGAACATACAATGGAAACAGAACATAAATACATCAGAACGTATAATCTGTTCAATTAAAAAAACTTGGATGGAAATCCTTGAAAGCAGTGTTAATACTTTCATTTATTTTAACGAATGGGCACTTGTTTTGCACTCCCCATGGTGAAGAATGGCTACCATCATGCTAAAAAGGCTAGCATCAACCTCGTTCATTTGCCGGAAATGATGCTGGGCGAATTATTGCTACACTATGGTTACAACTACTGCACGCTATAAGATTTGGTGTGCAACGCGCTAGAAAAAGGATCAAGTCCTCTGATGACCACGACAGCAAGCCATTTGCGGAAGCACTGTTCATAAGCTGCTGTACCGCTGCAGAATAGAAAACAGCGACATGCTTCTGTTGGTCTGCTCCAGGCACCCCTTCCAAATCTGGACGTTCTGGTGCAGAAGAACCGGAATAATGAATTTTCAGTCAACTTCACGACACACTTCGTGAGCGCCCCGCACGTCTTGAGCGGAGTCGCGCCGAGTCATGAGTGTTTATGTGACGTGGTTCATTTCCCAGCTTGTACTACAGCTTGACTGCGTAATCACACTTATCATTACATTTCCCTCATTTGGGGAAACTTCGCCATTAGTCTTGCCACCCACCACCAGTGCTCTCTTGCTTCCGTCTGCACTCTTATCGTTTTCTGTCCCGTGGGACAGGAGGTACCGATTTACCGTTGGACACACACGACATCACGCCCCACCCTTTAGGCGGAGTTCAGTCCTGCAACCTATCATCGGTGTACCTATCCTGCCTCCTGTATTCCTAAGCCGCTCTAGGTCTATTTTAACATTTCTCTGCAAGCCCCGCCCCCTGAAAGTGGAGTCCGGCCTTGACATCCGCCGCAAAGGTTCCCATTCTGGCGCCTGTGCCCTACGAAATTTGAACGCTTTAGGTGTGCGGGGACAGGAGTTATGATTTTCCGCTCCAACCCCGCCCACTGGGCCACTGTGGGCCGGGTAGGTCCTGCCCACCCCCACTACAAGTGCTCCCATCCTGACGCCTGTGCTCCTACAAAATATCAACGCTACGGTTCCACGGGGGCAGGAGTTATGATTTTCCGCTCAAGCCCCACCCATTGTATGCGGAGTCCGGTCCTGCAACCCACCATGAGCGTTCCCAAGCTGCCGCCTGAACTCCTTCCAAGTTTGAGCACTCTAGGTCCACGGGGACCGCATTTATGAATTTCCGGTCACACACACACACATACACACACATACACACACATACACACACATACACACACATACACAC